ACCCAAAGGACCTTACATTTGAAACTGGCATGTTATGAGAATGCAGCCTCCTCCGTAGGAACACAGCCACATACAGAGAGTGGGAGGAGGATCTAAATACTTCAGAAACAGCTTTCGTGCAGAAAAATGCAAATTGTTTGCCAGTATTTTCTGATAGCGTTATCATGCTGCATTCATTTTGCCATCAATTTCACAAGATTCCCTGTGTCTTTAGAGCTCACACACTCCAAAAACATCAGTGAGCCACCATCATGCTTCACAATGGGGATTGTATTCTTGTCGCTATAGAACTTGTTGACCCCTCTCCAAATATAGGGCGCTTATGGTTGTGACCATAAAGGTCTATTTTGGTCTCGTCACATCTAGATTACAGTGTGCCAGAAGCTGGGAGGCATGTCAAGTTGTTGTATGGTATATTGTAACCAGGCTTTGTTGTGGTATCGGAGCAGTAAAAGCTTCTTTCTGGCAACTCGACCACGCAGCTCATTTGTGTTCCAAATTTGATTGTATTGTGCACCTTGAACAACCAACCCGTCTTTTTCCAGAACAGACTGTACTTCTCCTGTGGTTACCAGTGGGTTCTTCTTTGTATCCTGAACAATTCTTCTGGCAGTTATGGCTACAATCTTTCTTGGTCTACCTGACTTTGGCTTGGTATCAAGTGATCCCCAAATTTTCCACTTCATAAGTGATTGAACAGTACTGTGGCATATTTGAATATCTGTTTTTATCCTTTTCCATCTTTATAAAGTTCCATTACCTTGTTACGCAGGTCTTTTGACAGTTCTTTACTGCTTAGTGCATTCATGTGAGAGCTAACAAATTTATTGACTATGTATACACAGACACTAATTGAAATTTACCCGCATCCCGCCCGCCATATAAGAAAATGACAGATGGGCAGTGGTTCTCTTGTTTTAACCCCAGGGGCAAGCAGCGTGGCAATCGGTGGTGTTCTGTGTCCCTGGGACACAGCGGGATCACCAATCAGCGAAAAGAGCCGATGACTTCGGCTCTGTCATGTGATCAGCTGTGTCCAGTCACAGCTGATCGCATGTAAATAAGAAAATGCCAGTTATCGACATTCCTCTCCTCATGCTGACAGCGCATGAGGAGAGGAGAGCCGGTAAGCAGCATTCCTCAGAGGGGACATCTACACTAATCATCAGGGTAGCCCCATCAATGCCACCTGTCAGTGCCCATCCATGCCACCTGTCAGTGCCCATCAATGCCACCTGTCAGTGCCCATCAATGCCACATCAATACCACATATCAGTGCCCATCTGAGCTGCCTCTCAGTGCCAACTATCAGTGCCAGTCAGTGCCACCTATCAGTACCAGTCAGTGCCGCCTATCAGTTCCAGTCAGCGCCGCCTATTAGTGCCCTTCAGTGATGCCTAACTGTTCCAGTCAGTGCCGCCTATCAGTGCCATATATGAGTACTGCCTTTCACTGCCTATCAGTGATGTCTGTCAATGCCCACCAGTGACACCTACCAGTGCCTCCTCACCAGTAACCATCAGTGCCGCCTATCAGTGCAGCATATCAGTGCCCATCACTGCAGCCTCATTAGCGCACATCAGTGAAGGAGAAAAATTACAAATTTACAAAATTTTATAACAGAAACTAAGAAAAAAACTTTTTCCCCTAAATTTTGAGTGGTTTTTGGTTTGTTTAGCAAAAAAAAAAAAACCCAGAGGTAATTAAATGCCACCAAAAGAAAGCCCAATCTGTCTCAAAAAACTGCTAAAAATTTCATATGGGTACAGAGTTGCATGACCGTGTAATTGTCATACAAATTGCGACAGCGCTGAAAGCTGAAAATTGACATGGGCAGGAAGGGGGTGAAAGTGCCCGGTAGTCAAGGGGTTAAAAAGCTACAGATGTGGGAAAACAATTATTTTTTTTTTAACAGTTAAAAATGTATTCAACATAGTGCAGTGTTTCACATGTGAATCAGAAAAAAGGATGGAGTAAGTAAAACAAGACAAGCTTATACACTACTTCAATAAAAGTTCTCTGTAAATTAATAGCAGACATTTATATTTAAGGGATTCAGCAAATAATGTGTCGTTAAAACCAGGGCTACTGCAAAGATTAACACAGTCAATAAAGCACAGTCATGTGTATTCCAATATTCATTACCCAAGAAAGTCAAAGAAAGAAAATGAGGAAAGAGAAATTATTTCCCAGAAGGGAAGTAATAGAAGGGTGTAAGGAGAGAGGGAAAAAAAAAAAGAGGGGGGGGGGGGGGGAAAGAGAGGAGAAGAGGGGAGGGTACCTCAAGAAGAGGAAGAGGGGCGGGTGGGGGAGGGAAAGAAAAAGTAGGAGCAGCCAAGAAAGAGAAAAAAAATCTGTATATCCATTAATCAAAAGTAATATTCCTAGCATCTACCCAGGCTTACCATATTTTCCCGAATTTTTGAGGGCAGTTACAACCCATATACGTGAGCCGATAGAGAGGAAGGACTGCATTGATCAATTACCTCCAGGGTGTTGGAGGGTCTGCTAACTTAGAGAGAATTATCTTTCTAGAATAGTATGCAGCTTAAATTAGAAACAGCTTCTGATGGGAGGTAACAAGGAGATTATCATTTACGCTCAACAACAGTAATAAGGGATACCGAGTAATAGTGATAGCACTAAATTTATTTATGTCCGCAACCACCGCCAACCAAAAGTCTTGAATAAGTGTACAGGACCAGACCATGTGAAGGAAATTGCCTTAGCGCCTTATCACAAAAAATGGCCTGGTCAGGAGGGGGTAAATCCTCTGGAGGGCAAGCGGTTAAACAGTGTGTCACCTTGTGTGTCTGTACCAAGGCCAAACATTACAGGGTATGTAAACTTTTGATCAGGGCCATTTGGGTGATGTCTGTTATGATTTAAGAAGAAGCCAGACAACTCTGTGATAATAAATGGCTTCATACGATCACTATCCTTAAAGCTGAACTCCATCTTTCCGTTTGGGCTAAGCTGGCTCGAATGAACTATGTACCTCACAAATATCTGAGGCTGAGCGGAGGCTACATACAGTATATAGCACCATGTTCCGGTCTGAGCTGAGACCTTCCTGTCAGAGATCCGGAACACAATAGAATCTGCCAGAACGGCGCTCAGCCATTCAGACGAAGAGATGTTTTCTACCAATGAATACAAAGCTCCCTCTGGGTCAGAGGTTGTGGCATCATCAGTCCTGATGCAGCTAATCAGAGCTTGGCCCAAATGAATTATGAATGTGGAACAACAGATGGAGTTCAGCTTTAAATGAAAGACAATTTTTTTGCATAATCAGTCATATTTTCAATATCATTGCCAAAATTTCACAGTTTCTGCCAGGGTATGCAAACTTCTGAGCACAAGTGTGTGTGTAAAAAAAAAAAAATAAAATCATATATAAATTTTTCTTTTTCTAACCATTTCATATTTTTCTCAGAAGCTTCTATTAAGATTTGTTTGCTTACTGGGCTATCTAGATGTTTCAGGTTACCGTTGGTGTTTACTTTGGGGACTGTACCCAGGCCCCACTGAGGATCCTGCATTAGTCACTTACTTTGACACAAACTGCAATGTTGCCAAACCCTGAAGACCCCCTTTGCGGATATGCCTTATGTGACACTGATGTCTGGACCTCCAATAAGTACAGTGTGGAGGATAGGGTAAGACAAGGTTTTCCTGTGTATTTACATTGAGGTACGCCCCCTGACATTTTGTCTTTAATGTTTTTCTGAACAAGCAACTAAAAATGGGCATTTTTTTCTACTGCTATCTAGTCTCAGAGGGATGGGATAATTAAGTCATGCCTCCTAGATGACAACCTCTTACCCGCCATTTCTGCCAACAATGCACACAGCACACATTGCTGCACTCCTGCTGCCATCTTCTACAGAGACACAGCCACAGAAACTTGGTCAGCACCTGGGTTTTAATGACTCCTATACCTGGGCAAGCATAAATCCATCTATTCTGCACTCCGTATCCAAGAGTACACGCCCCCCCTTCACCTCTGGGGATCTCCTCACTTAACAATGGCTGATCCCAAATGCAAGAGGGTTAGTACAAAATGACCAAATAGCACTGCATGCATTCCATTGACAGCCTAGACAGCCTACAGGAAACTCACACCACCGATCAGGGTGATAGCCAGTCCCTTCTGCTTTTTTTATAGCTAAGATATGTGATTTTAAAGTTACATGTGTTGTGTTTGAAGCTAAGCCTTCTCTAATGTTGGAGGGGATTAAGACTTTGGACAACCATGTGGTGAGAGACAAAGAGAGTTGTTCTAGAAACCAAAGGAGGACACACTTGTACTGAACACTGATAAGGAAACAGTTGGACTCAAAGAACCACAAAGAAGATTCCATCAATGGAAAGCTCAAGTTGAGTAGCCGATTAGAATACGTATTGCATACATATTGTACTTGCTTATTTGCTAGGGAGATAGCTTGTGCATGTTGTAGGCATATTTTGTTATACTTTTCATGCTGATTTGTGTATTCTGCAGTCATATATGCAGCTTATCAGTTTAGTGAAGCACAATATTACACTACAGAGTTTTAATTGCTTCTTTGGCTTGTACCTTAACCACTTGCCTACCAAGCACTTATACCCCCTTCTTTACCAGGCCAATTTTCAGCTTTCAGCGCTGTCGCAATTTGATTGACAATTGCGCGGGTATGCAAGATTGTACCCATATGAAATTTTTATCATTTTTTTCTCATAAATAGAGCTTTTTTTTGGTGGTATTTAATCGCCACTGGGTGTTTTACTTTTTGCGCTATAAAAAAAAATGTGCAAAAAAAATTGAAAAAAAAAAAGTTTTTGTTTCTATTATAAAATTTTGCAAACGGGTAATTTTTCTCCTTCACTAATGTGCGTTGATGATGCAGCACTGATGGGCACTGATAGGCAGCACTGATAAGCAGCAGTAATGTGGCACGGATAGGCGGCACTGATAGGTGGCACTGACTGGCGGCACTGTTAGGCATTGACTGGCGCAACTGCTGGGCACTGACTGGCACAACCGCTGGGCACTGACTAGTGGCATTGACTGGCAGCACTGCTGGGCTGCACTGGTGGGCACAGGTGGGTGGCACTGGTGGGTGGCACTACTGGGCACAGGTGGGTGGCACTGCTGGGCACAGGTGGGTGGCAATTCTGGGTGGCACTGGTGGGCACAGGTGGGCACAGGTGGGTGGCACTGCTGGGCACAAGTGGGCGGAACTTGTGGGTGGCACTGCTGTGCCCTGATGATCGGTGCCGATCCCTGCTCCAACAACTGCTGGTTCTCGGCAGTACTTTCCTCACCATCTGACAGCGTGAGGAAAGTGCAGCCGAGAACCGGCAATTGCATTTCCCTGTGATCAGCGTGTCATTGGACACGGCTGATCACGTGGTAAAAGGCCGCTGTGATTGGCCTTTTACCACATCATGTGATCAGCTGTGTCCGTAGGACACAGCGATCAAGGAAATATGACGCCCTCCCAGAACTGGCCGGCTGCAGTGTAGCTGTCATTCGGCTATCTGCGGTCGGCAAGTAGTTAAAAGAACTTTGATAGACCAAGCAAAACACACCACTCATTGTCTGATTCTGGGCTCCCTCTCAGACATGCAACATGCAGCCTGTCTGACAAAAGTAGTTTTCTGATACTGTGTTTGAATTCTTTGGAAAATTCTCAGCACTTCTAGAACATTTGGTGTCCAAATGCCAGAAAGGGTATACATCCACTGATCTACCTGACCTCTGTTCAGGATTCAGAAGCAGAACCTCTTTTCCTTGAGAATATTACTGAGGAAAGTATTGAACACCCCAATTTTGTTCCCAGAGGCTGCAGAGGATTTTCCCCTCTGCATTTTGTGAGTTACAAGTTGTGGTTTCATGCCATATGCCATCTACTGTGAACACACTAATTGACACAGTGTGCACACGTCTTTTCCCAATGGCACCTGATTCTCCACAGCCTAAACAAGTCCCTGTGGGCACTAAAAAACTGGAAGATTGTTTTTCCCAAAACACAAACAGATTAATTGTGCACTATATGAGGAATGGAGCAATTCTGAAAGGGATATTCACTCCTCCTAAGCTTTTTTTCCGAGATTTATTCTATGGAAAACAGTTTTAAAAAGAATTGGAATGTTCTGGTAGTGGAACAGTTCCTATCTTGGATGTTCCTTTTTCCTTCTTTTTTTTGAAGGATTCTATGCAGGATTTTGTCATTAAAATATTAGTTTGCTGAACCAGTTTGTATATTCCTTGATAAATTCATCAGGAAGCCACTGGTGGAAAGGTGCTTTTACTCCAGAAGAAGCTAAAGTCCTATTCCTATGGTTACTACAAATTCCCAGCAAAAAAGTCCTTTTTATTTACCAAGGCCTAGCACTTTTTTCATTTTCAAGTCCTGGACTCCCAATTCCATCAATCCTGCCCAGAAGCCCTCCTCACAATGAAGAGGCACCTTCACTGTTAGGAGTGAGGGGACATCTGCTGGCATTTGCATCAGTCTGGATCTGAGATGTTTCAGACCTCTGGGTCCAATTTGTTATTTCAAAGGGAGCAAAATCTAGTTTCTATCCTTGTCCTGTCCATGCCTTTTCCCTTTCAATCTGCCAGCGTCACACCAACAGAAAGCAGATTTAATGACAGCCGTGCACCAACTGCAGGCAAAATGAATGGTTGAACCAGTTGCTTCGGAAAGATGGTTTCAAGGTTTCTTCATAGTCCCAAAATCAAATGTGGGTATCCAGCCAATACTGGAATTAAAATCTTCAAACAGATTTTTTTCGCGTACCAAAACTTTTAAATGGAATCAACAAGATCAGACAATGTTTCTCTAAGACATGACATCAGTAGACATGCAAGATGCCTAGCTATAGATTCCTACCCCCCCCCCCCCCCCCCCCCCAGTTTTCTGTGTTTTGCTATGAGATCATCTTTCTAAAGTCTGTCCTCCAGCCTTTACATCACCAGGATTATCTTTTGTCTAATCTTCACAACAGTCCCATATGAGAACCCTCAGGTCAAAACAGCACCTCTCAATTTGCTTCTGCATAGGGTTCTGAACTTGATAGCCTCCTTCAAGTTCCTTTTGACAAGTTTCACTTTGGATCACCAAAAGCTTCTATCCAGCTAGAAAAAGCGACCCCTGATTTAGTAGATCACCTGTAAAATAATCAGTTTAATACTCTATGTACAGACTATATAAAAACTACAGTTTGAAAGCTGACCTTTTGAAGGTTATAGAGGTCTATCTTCTTCTGCAGGCCCTTTTGTGCTGCACTCTCTTCATCATCCATATTTTCCAAATGTTCTCCTGAAATTAATAAGATCTTTTTTAAATAGTCAGTTTTCCAAATCCCCTCCTTTTAATAATAGCATACCTAATCAATACTCGGATATTTCGTACATTGGGTGCCTTTAAGTGTGTCCAGTTATAGACTGGAAACCATGTGTAGAACCATTTTCTGTAGCTTTGTTGAGAAACATGCTGTGCACCAACGACAGCATTGTATTTTTATATTCAGCTTGTGTTCACTCTACTATGTAACTGCAGCCCAGGTCTGGGAATAAGGAAGGCATCTGACCAACATACTAATTTTCACTCAAAATGATTTCTTAAGCACATTTACAAAACACAAAATGATGAAAGAATGCAGACCCTACATACATTTAGATTGTCATTGCTTATTCCCCCATTCTTTGAGCATCATCTAGAGCGAAGGCCAGCAACTAACAAATTCTGATTTACCTGTTGATTGCGGCCAAGCAATTTGCAGATAGGGTCTCCACCAAGCCAACCCTCTGTCAGAAGTGCTTTTCTTCCCCATATGCAAAGTGGCACAGGGAAACCTATGTGATATCACATACAAGCAGCTGGGATTAAGGCAAGGCGTGGATTGTCTTGGACAGCAGCATAGCACAACAGGTAGCTATGTCTCACCACTGCTTCCTTGCCCTACTCTGCATATGAACGGGGCATAATGGTGACACAGAGGGAAAACCAATCCAATGCGGGCCTGGCTTTGAACAGGCAGATCCTGGCAGCTGGACACAGTTTACATGTCAGGGTACATCTGGTTTTATTCTCGGTCATACACCTAAGTGGTTACTGTCTGAACTCTGCATTACGTAATCCTTAATCCTTCACTCTTTGTTACTTACTACTGACCTCTGCACTCTACATTACCCCTGACCATTTCATTCTACGGTGCTAACTCCTAACCCCTTTACTCTGTATTACTTACTACTGAACTCTGCACTCTGTGTTACTTACTATTAACCCCTGCACTCTCTGATAGATATCACTGACTGTCTTAACCAAAATGGATATTGCTTTGACTCAGCCAACCAGGCCAAAATTCAATCCAGGTAGCCAGACCTCAAGGTAGTCATCCCACCAACCACCAGGGCAGCACTCAGCCCAGCCAGCCAGGAAAAAACTCAGACCAGCACTTAAAGCCAGCCAAGACCAGACTTCAGACCAGCTCTTAAAGCCAGCCAGCCCCCAGGCCAGGACTCAGCCCAGCCAGCCAGCCCCCAGGCCAGGACTCAGCCCAGCCAGCCAGCCCCCAGGCCAGGACTCAGCCCAGCCAGCCAGCCCCCAGGCCAGGACTCAGCCCAGCCAGCCAGCCCCCAGGCCAGGACTCAGCCCAGCCAGCCAGCCCCCAGGCCAGGACTCAGCCCAGCCAGCCAGCCCCCAGGCCAGGACTCAGCCCAGCCAGCCAGCCCCAGGCCAGGACTCAGCCCAGCCAGCCAGCCCCCAGGCCAGGACTCAGCCCAGCCAGCCAGCCCCCAGGCCAGGACTCAGCTCAGCCAGCCAGCCCCCAGGCCAGGACTCAGCCCAGCCAGCCAGCCCCCAGGCCAGGACTCAGCCCAGCCAGCCAGGCCAGCACCCAAACTAACCAGCCAGGCAATATTCCAAGCCTAGCCTAGCCTAACAAAACTGTGAATAAGTGAATGTCAAGTTTACTGAAGCAAAAGAGGTGACATTTGTATTATTAGATATTCTTTTTTCAAACATTAATTTTACTGGAGACTTTTTAGGTAATCTCCTTATAAAAGTGCACTGCACCCTGACGATTGTTGATAGATTGCCACCTTTACAAGGTTCCCTACCCTGATCTATAGGGATCCCTGACGCCTTGCTTTTCCTTCATCTTGGTTCTTTTCTCTTTACACTGTAGCTGCATTTATGCGGGGCCTTTCTTTCACCAAGTAATGTAAATAAAACTAGGTGTAGTGATAAACCACAACCAAAATTATTAAGATTTATAAATCCTCCTTCTAGCCCTTTAAATCCAATGCATAAAGTGCTTGTGCTATATCCAATATTTCAGTAAATGGTGCTGTAAACAATGTAAAAAAAAAAATGTACAATAAACCATAAATGTTTTCCCAAAGTCCAATATATATATATATATATATATATATATATATATATATATATATATATATATATATAAATATATAAAAGTTCTGGTGCTGTAAACAATATGCTTTGATCAGTCCTCTGTGCAAACCAATAAAGTGCATTTCCAAATGTCTGTGCTTGCTGTTCTTTATTTTCTCCACACCTGTGACCCACAACAACCAGAAAGTGCTTTTGGGTGAGTAGCACTCACTGAAAAATGGTGACCCCTTATGTTGAATAAGGTCAATAGCACTTTAGATAGTCTTTAGTTCCACCAGATATCCTTCTCATATACTCCTCTGGGGGTACCTTCTCAACACTGCTTCCACTTTCAGTCCCATTTGGGCTCAAAAGATCAAAAAGAAGCCCACAATAGTGTAGTTAGGGAGTCAGCAACCAGTAGATGGTGGCCTGGTGACTGGTAGATCACGATCTGGACTTGCTGAACCACCATCCCAAAGCATCAAACAAACAGAGTGCAATGCAGAGGGTCTACTTGATACAAACTGCATTCCACCTCTTTTCCCGGCTAGCAGTCTCCAGAGTAGTGCCAGCAGCAGGAAAGAAGAGATCTTCAGGTCATTTTGAAGCTATACACTGGGCATAATAGTATAGTGCCGCTTTCATACTGATGTGCTGTGGTTTACCCACACCACGCGTGCAGTGCGCCTGCAGCTTTCCTGCGCTTAGCCATGGACTTCTATTATATCATGTGGGTTTGGCGCACTTTCAGAAGATGCACCACACCAGCAGGATATAATAGAAGAATATGGCAAAGCGTAGCTAACCCAGGACAGTTGCAGATGCACTTCGTTGCACCAGCGGTATATGTAAACCACAGCACATCAGTGTGAAAGAAGCCTTACAGGGGGCTCAGAACAGTAAGGGTTCATTTACATTTGCAGGTTTGGGGGGGGCAGTAAATCCCTATTGTTAATTCGTATTTTTACCACCCCAACCCCACCCCTTTTCGCTGAAGTGGCACATTTTATATTAAGGAGCATTCTGATGGGCACATTTATATTAAGGGGCACTTTGATGGGCACATTTATATTAAGGGGCACTCTGATGGGTACATTTTAGGTTAAGGGGCACTGTGATGAGTACATTTTATGTTGAGGGGCACTCTGATGGGCATGTTCTATGTTGTGCCCATCAGAGTGCACCTTAACATTAAATGTGCCAATCAGCATGACTCTTTAACATTAATAGTGCCCATCAGAGTGGCCCTGTAAGACTACACCCTACCTTGAGGGCAGACAGGACCTGTCCGGGATCCTTGTGCACAGGCAGGGAGCGGCAGCCGGAGAGACAATGAGCTGCAAGGGTCGGTGCGCACACGTGATGTCATGTTGCCGTGATGACCGCCCTGCTCAGCAGCGGATCTGTCACTGCGGGATGGCAGTCTGTTGGGGCTGATCTTGGACCTTGGTCCGCCATTTAGTGACCGCTGCCCTAGACCTCAATACCACCTTGTCCTGATGCAAAACTAGGGCTCCTTGCGGGACAAGGCTGTCAGATCACATATTATATGAATCACAGATTCAGAGATTCCACTGTCTCTCAAAACCTGGGTTTCCAACAGCCAAGCTGTTAAAGCCTGTAAGCAGGATAGTAAATCAGTTCATGGGACAAAAAAATGTGATGATATGAAAGATCCTATGAAGCATTCGCCAACAGTTTTGCCAGGTTGACATACCAAATCCACAGTGGGCAAGTCTGGAGCAATGAGGTTCACCAAAATGCCCTCAATCCCCTGAAAGGCAGACGAAGAAGAACCTTTGTGGAAGAAAAATATAGATCAGACTATACTGAGTCCACAGAGCCACGAGAGCATCTGATGCTACCACTAGGGGATACTTGTACCTGGATATAAAGTCCAGTTTGCTGTTGAATCGGGAAGCCAGAAAGTCCACAGTCCGTGTCCCCCAACAGTGACACAGGTTCTGGAACACCTCTGCATGTAAGGGTCATCCCGCTAGGCAGTAGAATTTAAAAAAAGGACAGAAAATGAGCTTTGCCCAGAATAGGATCTTATCTACCTTTCTTGCTTCGATGAGACTTCTGGGTTCCCAATTCAAGGTTAGGGTACAACAGAGGTATGTCTGACTGAATACGAATCAGATGACCCTCCAACTGGATGGTCCAATGCTGCAAAGCCAGTTCTAGGATGTTGTTCAGCAAATGAGACCCCTCCACCGATCAAGTCCCCTGCACTGAAAGAGAACCCATGACTCATCACCAGCCCAATGACAGGCTGATATTCATCATAGAATTTCTTAGAAGATGGGAAAGAAGGTGTTTCCTGATTTATTTGCTGGATTCCAGAGGCACCAGACCAGGGACAACCTGCTTCTCAGTTCCGAAGAAGAAATTGGCCAACTTAGGGACTTTACAGAAATGTTTCATGATAACAGATTGTTGACAAATGGGACTGTCTTGAATGAGGCTACCAACAGGCAAAAGAATTTCATGCAAAAGTCCAACAACTGGAGAGCTGGAATCTGAGACAATAGGAGTAATAACAGAGATGCCACAAGAGTGATGTAGGGCTAATACTCAAGGTGCAGACTAGAGACCAAAGGTCAAACACCACAAACTGGTAACGTAGCCCCAAAGCAAAGTAAAATAGGGATATGTACACTTCTTTGATGTCCACAGAAATCAGAAAGTCTGCTTGATAAATGGAGGCAATGATAGTACTGTGGATCCCATGCTAATTCGTGAGCTTGAACAAAGACATACAGAGCTTTAAGACCCTCTGGGTTTGGGAACAGTGAAAAGCGTGGAGAAAAATCCTTGAAAAACTGTTTTGCCTCAGGAAGTAAGGCAATGACACATTGGTCCAGAGGAACCAAGAGGGCACAACGTAGATTGCTAATCTGTGTGGTGAAACTGGAAGG